CATTGCAATCAGGAGATGTTGCCAGCAGATATTGCCTGCCAAACTTGTTGGGCGGTTCTGAGAGAAATCCTGTCAGCATATTGCTAGATATAGGTTTCCCAGTCTTCTGCAGGAAACTTCATGTTGATGGCATTTGCATTAAATTGCAACATGCTGCTATCATCAACAATTGGTTAGAGGCTGAACTTTCCCACAAGAAAGTGGGAGGTTTTTGTAATACAGTATTCACAAGAAAGTGCTCCAGAGCTCAGCTGTTGTGCTCTTCATTTAACCTCTTCGGGCAAGAAGGTAAACAAATTTCTTTTTTTTCAAAAATAACTTGTGATTTTTTTTTTTGGCAGATCCAAAGTAGTCTACAGGTTGGTAAAGTAAACATCATGTTTGCAGATGGGACTGAGGGGGAGATAGCTTTACAGTCTGCAGGCAGCAAAACAGACTGATAAAATTCAGGTGGTTCAAGAGGTCACACAAAGGGAGCTGGTCTTCAGTGGGACATAGATGGGGAATGTAGCAACACATGTCCAAAGTTATGAATCTAAAGATTCTTGCCTAAATTTCACAGACTTTTGAGTCTGAAATTTCCCCAGGATCTCTCTGCCCATGCCAGAAAGCTCTAATTACCACAGGACTGATCAGCTCAGTGGCTTATACCAGAAAGTAGATACTTTTCTGCCTGTGTCTCCAGAAGGGCTGAAGGGCAAGCTCTTTCAGAGCACCTCTACCTACTCTGGTAGAAATGGACTTCACATGAAGTGATGGTGCTGATGACCTGGGGTCCCTCCCACAAAGTGGGAGGCCCAGGTTAATTTCCCTTCTTTACTCAGCTTTCCAAGGCACAAGAAAAAGCCTTGAAACATTCCCTAGATGAGACAGAGAACATGCAATTTTTTCACTAAGAAGCTCTCATGATTCTAAGCATGAGAGCTTAGGTGTTTCCCCTGTACCCTGATCCCTGCTGCTGGGGGATTGTTTATGTTTGTAAAAAACGGATATGTAAAATAGGAAGGGTGGAGTGATATTCAAATTTTGTTTTGTTAGTGGGAATGCTAGTCTTTGCTATCAACATATTAGCTCTTGGGTTTGGCAACGATGTTTAGAAGCTTGCTGAGAAGCCTATGCGGCTGCACACAGGCATATCAAATTACTTGCCATGTACAGCCCATAACAGGCCAATGTACATCCATGTCTGTTTATGCAGACCTAGAAAGAGGTAAAAAAGGTACTGGAGGTACTGATGCAAAATAATAAAAGCAGACAGAAAAAGCCCTTTCTGGCATAAAGGTAGCAGCCTGAGAGTCTTAAGTTGTTTGGAAAACATTTCCCTTGAAAAGTTATTTTGTACTGAAATTTGTTGGTTTTTAATTTAAAGCCTGTTACTTTGCAAATGTTTTGTGTCACATAGGGATGATTAGAATTTCTGTGTTGTAGGAAATTTAATTTTTCTTATGTGCTGTTTGTCCCTTTCATTCTAAATCAGCACAGAAACACTTGGAAATTTATTTTTGTATGAGTGGTCATGAAAAATGAGAAAGTCACTTCTACCAATCATAGATTTTTCATGTGAGGAGACAGTGCTATCTAGCATGTGCTCCTTTTCTAGGATAGACATATGTCATTTCTGCCAATTCTGTCTTCCTTTGTGTGTGAGAAACGAAGGTGCATTAAAGCACCTTAATGGGAGGCAGATTGAATAAGTAAAACATGCAATGAGAATTATTATGTGGCATCAGGAAAAACAGGTTCCTTCTTGCTTACCTTGTATTAAATACAGAATTAACTTAAAGACAAGGCTACAGCTCTCTCAGCCTCCCCGCCTTATTTACTGCCTCCTCCTGTTGACAGCGTAATATAATCTAATATACCTATTAATTATGATAGCTTTGAGCACAGTTTTTTATTCTTTGAGAATTTTTGTCTTGGTTTCACCTATCCTTAGATGAAAACAAACTGTAAAGAGAGAACAGATCATGAATAGTTATAGAACAGGAGTGTTCTTCATTTCATACAGCCGCAGAAGTTGTCATCTTTACAAAGTCTCTGGTGTACAGTGGTTTCTTCCGAAGGAGGCTCTTTTCCTGGGTAGCTTTTGCTCACATGTAACAGCACCAGCAATTCTCATTTGCTGGACTATGTTAAAAGCTACTGAACCATGATACAAAGCATCTCCTTTCATCAGCTGTAAAGCCCCAGTCCTGCTTGCTGTCTCTGTGCTATTGCTAATGTCCAGCGCAGACACTTTGGCTAGTGCAGAACAGCAGCTATGATCTTCCTGGAACACTTCTTTTGATCTTGGATCTTCTCTCCTTACCACTCCAAGATCTTTTAAAAGTAACATTACCATTTGTTGTCCACCACATAGGTGTTCTCCAAACTCCGCTGTCCTCGCAGTAACTCCAAAACTCGCACTGATTGCACAATGACACAGATTACACATATGGCTTTATGGTGCCTATCCCAATTTAGATTATGAAAGTTCACTAAATCCTTTAATTCTGAGGTAAGAAAGTTCCTCCACCAGCCCACACCTCCCCTCCCTTGCTTTGGGGTTCCAGGGCAGCTCTCTAAGTAGTTCCCACCCACAGAACCATGGAGCTGGCTGTGGTGTTTGGACTTGGACCTCTCCCCGAGGACAGCCTGCTGCTTTTTCTAAAGGAGTGGCCACCTCGGTACACCAGGCACTTGCTTTTAAAACCTGTTCTGAGATCCTGGACTCTCTCCACATTTGGCAGTCAGTCCTCTCCCTGCAGGGTGGGGTGGAGGTGCCTCCTTCCTGC